GCTAGTATCTGCTAGATGGGCTTGAAGGTAAGAGGGTTGACCCAGTTGGGAAATGGAGTGATCGGAAGAGAAGGAGGAAGTAGATGAGGAGGACGAGGAGGAATACGAGAATGATACAGAAGAGGAAGAAGTAGTCTAGTCCTCTGAAGATACGTGAAGTTCTTCTTGCTCTAGGTAGCCGAAGGGGGGGAGCATTGACGGGGGTGAGAGAAGGGGTGGGGGCATGGGGTTGAGAAGGTTGAGGAACTAAGAGGAGCTGGTGGACGGGGATGGGTCTATTAGAAGGTAGAGAGTCGGATTCTGAAGCATAATCGGAAGATCTGCAGTGGACTCTTCTTCTTGCACAGGGAGCCTCGTCATCCTTCTTCCACGGCATCGTACTTCGTGATTGATGAAAGAAAAGATGTGTGTTGCCTCCAGGAGCTTCAGGATGAGACGTGGAAGCGCCGGGAGTGACGAATAGGAGGCTTCTCTTGGGAATTGGGGGGTCAGATTGATACTCGATCGCTGACCCGCAGGCCTGGTCCGTGAACGATCTGAACCAGGGTCCCGGACCTGCTTGAATAAGTTGCTGAAGAAGAAGATGAGAGAGGTCTCCTTTGGCGAGTTGCTTGAAAACCCCCTTAAAAAAAAAGGCTAAAGGAGTTATGAAACCTCGAAGTCTCCCGAGTGAAGGAAGGTTCTCCGCTATGCAGAGTAAGTCGTTGTTAACCCAGAACGTTGATGAGTTGCTCCTTGCTGACGCTAGGCACAAGGAGAAGCAGTAGAAAGGGATGTGAAGGTCGTGATAGTGCTGCATCCTGTAGTTAGCCAGCTTCACACTCGCTTTCTCATGCTCGAGGGTGAGGAAGCTGAGGGTTTGGTTTCCAACTGACACTAGGGAGAGGATGAGGTTGGAGTAGAAGGAATGAGAAATCCGTTCTATTGCCTGATCTCGTTTTAGGAAGAAGAAAGATTGAGCGCCATTCCGGAAAGTGCAGAAGGCGGCTTCCTCGACGAATTCGAGGAGATCGGAAGTGACTAATTGTGAGCCGAAACTGTTTTTCACAAAGGAGGATTGGAAAGTGGTTATGGCGCGAGGAATGATAAACGAAAGGCAAAAGAAATGAAAGAGGAGTAGTGAGGCTGATGGGGGATCTATAACGAAGATGCGATGAATGCTTTCATCAACGGATATGGGTGGGAGGGTTATAGAAGAGCGTAGAGGAGTGATGAGTGAGGAAAATAGGGTTACTAATTGGGTATCAGGGATAGGTTCCTGAGATTGGAGTGTGAGGTTGGAGGGAAAAAACGCAAGTAGGAAGGGGTCAAAGAGTGGGGAGCTGCTGGAATGCAACAAGTGAAAAGAGGAAGATGCGGATGGTGAGGCGACTCGAGCGTGGCGATGTTGGGAATTGGCAACTGGGTTGGGCTGGGGAGGTGGTAGATCACCTGATGGAGAGGCGACTCGAGCGTGGCGATGCTGGGAATCGGAAACAAGGTTGGGCTGGGGAGGTGGTAGATCACCTACTTTGCAGACAGATGGGTTCACGGTGAGGCAGGTAAGGAGGGAACCCCGGAACGGTGAGTGACTTACCAGGACGGGTAGACTGACGGGAATGACTGACCGGTTGAGGACAATTACTTGCGACTGGTAGGGCGGTGGGGCTGGCTGACGATCTTGACTTGACGGTCTTGTCGGCCAAAAGAAGAAAAGTGAAGGAGTGCGACTTGAGGGTCCTTCAACCAAATCAAGGCGAAAAAAGGACTCGACCTCTAAAGACCTGACCCTTGTGTTGGTCTGTGCGCAGGTTCGCGTTCACAATGAATGCGGCGAGCGGTCGGGGCCTAGAGGGCACAGCTTGAGAAGGCTCGCAAGCTATTGTTGCCGGCCAGTCGCCTGTGACTTGTACTGTCGCGGGCCAAGGCAAAGGGAGCGGGAGAGCCACCGAGACCGTTCTCCAGCCAGGGTAAGTACCGCGCCGACCCTGGGAAACAAAGGACCATAAGACCGTAGATCTTAGATGAAATGCTTGCTGTCATAGATTCTCAAAATGCTGAAGTTGTCGATGCTTTGTGATCCGTGGATTCTGCAAATCTGTGGTAGTAGGAGAGGGGACCTTGGTACCAATTCCCAACTGTAGCCGGTACCAATTCCCAGCTGTAGCCTGAAGAGTGAAACTGATGCGGACCGAGGATGTAGTTTCTTGTTGAATGTGCTCTGTCTACTAAGGGTCCAACAGGATGCACAGGTGCTGGAGTAATACTCATAGGGGGAGGGGTAATCGGGGAGGCACAGCAACTGGCAACTCAGATGATGCTCCCTCTGCTACCGGCTGTCCCCTGGCCGGTGTCCCCCATTGGGGGTTCCCTGAAGGCAATCAAGGCCACCCTGGGCTGAAGAGGCCACCTGATGTCAGATTAGACACAATATTGAATTTACCTGGGCTGGTTAGTCTGATGATAATACCTCAAGGCCATCGCCCTTTTAAAAAAAAAACACAAAAAAAAGAAGGCGCTATTTGGTCAGACAGATCGAGCGTTCGCCCCCTCCAAAGCACTGCCCCCCGATCACTTTGCAACGTCGGCTTATGAGGGCACGCTTAATGGACCGGTGGCTGTGTCTTCCAGTGCCGTACCCCCGTTCACCATTCACCGCCCTGATGAACACGGGCCGGTCACCGGTCACGAAAAACGTGACCGGTCGTAGTTCACGGAGTTCACGCAGAGCGGGAACTCCATTTTTTTTTTTTTTGGCTGGTAGGGGGGTGTTTTTTTCGCATAGGTGTGTGGTCCATGTCAATAGGCACCTGCCCAATGTTTTCATTTTTATTTTTTTCTTACGATCAGAATATATATATATATATTTTTTCGGCTGTGTTTGTTATAGCTTCCGTCGGCTGTACCCCCATTCTGAGGTTGTTTTGGGGCCCTACAAAAAACAGTGACTGACGACATCTAACACGGCGCAAGCGCCATACAACCACCAAAAAAAAACAAAAAAACAAAAAAACAAAAAACAAACAAAACAAAACAAAACAAAACAAAACAAAACAAAACAAAACACGTCGGGTCTCATTTCCCGCCAGGATGGTTGGCCGTCCATTTCGTGGTGCCATAAAGCACCACACGCAACGGAGGCCATCATTCATTGCCTTTCGTTGGGCAGTGGCCGTTCATGCATCATAGCGACGCGGGTCTAGGGTCGGGGTCGTGTTTTGGGCATGGGGGGTTTCGGTGGGGGGAAGGTATTTGCGGGGGGTGCTTTGGTGGTAGTTTGTGAGGGGTGCAGTTGCTGGGGGATTTGGG